TTTATATTTCTATAATACATATTTATGCTATATAAATTACGTTACTCATATCTATGACTTACACGTAATATTATTATACTAAGTTATATTATATTAATATTGAATCTAACATATGTACATATATCTATATATGTATATAACATATCTATTTTCTAAAACTTAAAAATATTCCGTCATGATCACTATATGGTGTTTCATATGTAATACATGAGGTCATTGCTGGATCCATGTTTGTCCATACCCAATCTATTGCTGTTTGCTGTTTTGTTGCGGCGGCGTTGTCCAAAGTAGATTGAAACCCCAACTGTTGTAATCGAGCCTCTAAATCGTCAGTTGTTGTGAATCGACATAATATGTTAAAGTCCCCAAGGACTACTGATGGTCCATTAAACTGCTCATTTATCTGACGGATATTATTCACCACTTGCTCTCTGAATTGTGGTGGTCTATACGTGGGGTTCCTGTACACAAGTGATAAAGAAACTGTCGAATTGTTTACGTTTAATAGTTGGTAAACGTTTGCTGAACCTGTGACGTTCCTTGATAATGATCATTCGGATAGATCTGGGCACCGATCTTGTTTTGAGTATATTAGAGGCCGTTGGCCGGGTGTCGTCGGGATGACCTTGTTTCTCCATCAAGGCGTGCAATAAGATTATAGCCCTCTGTTGGAAATTCTTCTTGAGATAAAGCAGAGAATACCAGCAAAACAAATCAGTTTATCTGATCTGATACCCGCAATATGCTTATTTAGACTCTTTACATTTTCGTAATAAATATCCAGGTGTTGTTATAGCATGTCGTCAACGCACCTTCTGTCCTCAATCTATTAAGTTGAGTTTTAATGGGATCCTGCTGTTCAAATGGGTTCGGAGGAGAAAATTTCCCAATTATATATAGTCCATTGGCATTTGTGACTCTGCTACATCCTACATATAAAGCTGACCTGCTAATTCTGTCCTCTAGATGAACCGCAACTTGAGCGTACGTTCCACCTTGGCTTTTATGTATCGTGATGGCTGCAGCTGGAATGAAAGGGAACTGTCTACATTCTATAGTTATTTGTTCATTTCGCTTGTATACGAATAATCGGTCCACGCTCATGATTCTGCGAATTTCATCCATAGTCGCACCACTGTGCTTTCAGGTCCAGACGATTCAGTTTGATTAATTGGATGTCAGCGTGTGTCAAATTTCCCTCTTACATGTTGTTTAAAGCGATGGCAAATTCTTGATCTTCACGCTGACGCATTATTTCGGTGAGCTCGAAGTATCGAATTTGATCCCTGAATTGCACTGTAATGATCATTGCCATTCGGCGCAAATATCCATCGATCTCCTACTAGAGAATAAACCACGACAAATTTACAGAATATATTTCGTTAACTCAAAAAGTCTTCAATGCAAGCATTTTACTCCGACCGTTTAGTGAACAATTTTTTTGGAGATTCCATTGTTGCCTTAAAAAATAATCCATACCAAAATTCGCGAATATATCCTATCAAATGCAAAAGTTTTCCATACCAGCACTAGATTCCGATCGTTCAGTTTGTATGGAAGCCATATGTTATAGTAATTCGTTCCGATCAATTTTTTGGAGATTATATTATTTCCATAATCCATGTAAAATTTCGTGAAGTACTACGTCAAATACGAAAGTTTTCCATACAAGCCCTTGGTTCCGATCGTTCAGTTTGTATGGCAGCTATATGCTATAGTAAGCCGATATGAATAATTTCTTCCGATATTACATTATTTCTATAGACAATAACTCATACGAAATTTCGTGAAGATACCACTTCGATTAAGGAAGTTTCCCATGCAAGCATTTGATTCCGATCGTTCAGTTTGTATGGCAGCTATATGCTATAGTAAGCCGATATGAATAATTTCTTCCGATATTACATTATTTCTATGAACAATAACTCATACCAAATTTCGTGAATATATGTCATCAAATGAGGAAGTTTCCCATGCAAGCATTTAGTTCCGATCATTCAGTTTGTATGGCAGCTATATGTTATAGTTAACCGATCTGAACAATTTCTTCGAATATTACATTGTTGCCTTAGAAAAAAATATGTACCAAATTTCGTGAATATATCTTGTTAAATGTGAAAGTTTTCCATACAAGAACTTGATTCCGATCGTTCAGTTTGTATGGCAGCTATATGTTATAGTGATCCAATATCGGCAGTTCCGACAAATGAGCAGCTTCTAGAAGAGAAAATGACGTTTGTTCGTATATATACAGACAGACGTACAGGCGCACAGACAGAGGGACATGGCTAAAACGACTCAGCTCAATATGCTGATCATTTAGATATATACTTTATAATGTCTCCGACGCTTCCTTCTGGGTGTTACAAACTTCGTGACAAAATTAATATACCCTGTTCAGGGTATAAAAAGTGAATCTCGTGAATCCGCCGTTATTTGCCTGATATATATCAGAATCATAGCAAATAGTTTTTATTTTGCTTTTAATATAAGCAAATTAAATCAAAAATTAAGCTTTTATTAGAATAATATTTGAAGATAATCGGAGGCCAAACCTTTCATAAAAGCAAACAAGGCAATTTTTAATCAAAAATATTTTGCTTTTGTAGCTAATGTTTTGCGGAATTTTTCGCACGAGTAGAAACTGGCATTTTGTGATCTTTGTACATTTCAATATTTTTTTAAGAAACACATGTTATCCTTATTATAAGTAATATAATTCAAGTTACTAAGCTTTAACAAAAGTAAACAACTATAAGCATATGCTTTCGATTTTAATTCCAAAACCGTGATTCCAAATGAACACTCGAACAATGAATATGGATATACCTCGTCATTGTTTACCAATCTTTTTTAATATTCTCGTTTTAAATCGGTAAATGTTCGATTAAATAATGTCCTTACTCCATTAAAACCTTAAACTCAATGCAGCAAGAGTCATTTTGTTAAAACTCTTTCTTGTGGCGATGAATATGTAATGTTTTCTTTTTTTTATAAAAGAATCTTAATTAGCAGTCTTTCTGTGCATGTTTCCCACTCCCATCCTTTCTGTGGACCACAGTGTACTCAATCTTTCACAGCTTTGCGCAATGTATGAACTGTAAATAGCTCTAGAGTCTAGACAGTCCAATGTTTACTGAATCAATTAAAGCGACATGCTGATAAATTATCATATCGCTCCAATATTGACCGCTGCTCCGCATCATTGGCGTAACGCGCTGGTGTGGTGGTGTACAACATTTTGATTAATGTTGATTGATTTTAAATTAATTGTTTATTACACAATATTTACTCTTCTTCCATATGCAGCTGTTCGACCACTTGCCATGGAGCTTTGCAGATAACGGTAAATAACACCGAATGTGGTAAAAAAGAGAAAGAGGACAAACATTTTGATTATAGGACCCTTTATCTCTCCTTAGGGTGAAAACGGTAACTTTTTAACAAATTCCTATTTCAATTAAATATTATTAAATGAATATATTAATATAATATCACCATAAAAATACGAAAGTCTAGGTAAAAAACTCTTTACTGAGCGCCCTTTTATGTATTATATAATAATATATGTCTGACAGTTATCGCAATCCTGTTCAATTATGCATGTATGTACATATGTATGTACTACCAGTATACTTTTGTGCAACATGTTGTTTAAATGTACGAAGGTAACTGTCAGTAACTTTGAGCGCCGCTCAAAACATTGCATTTATTAATTGTTGGAATACTTTGTGCAGTATCAAATAACCTAAGGATCTTATTAAATCATACGTAAATTGTTATCGATTGATTTACGTACATGCAAACCTATTTTCATAAATCCACTTAAATATAAAAAAAAAATCAGTGCATGAAGTACCCTACTTACTTCTTATTACCTATGTATATATAGACATATAGTATATCGGGGTGAACCGATTAATACTAAGTCTACAAAAGTAAAACGAACATTTAGAAAAATTCTAGAATTGGAACAAAATCTTAGCTAAACATCGCAGACTAAGTAGTCGTTTGCGTTTCAAAGTCAATGCTTAATTTCTATAAAATTTTATTATGATATATGGCAACGTTGTGGACAACATATAATATGTTTTACAAATGTTTTCCTATTGGAACCAAGGTTGATTATTTTGTTTACATGTTCTTGATTTATACAATTATATGGTAGCTTATTTCCTGCTATACCTCTGTGTACGCTAGGTAAGCTGATAGGACCAACAACGATATTTTCTTCAAAGACGAGACTCCTTGAGTGCTGCCAGACTACCCCTCCTTACAAATTTACGTTTGATAATTACAATGAAGATTAATCACCGAACATAGACTAATTGCTGTTTCAACACCAATTGGCACAAAATATTTTCATTAATTAAAGCTTTTTCAATGTCATGCAATCTCATTATATGAAATTTCTAAAACTTCTTCTGGTCTTCTGGTACTCAATGCTTACCATATGTGGAGAAATTTCGAGTTTGATAGGTTACATAATTTAATACTTTTGTAATATTTGATTATCATTCAGTTATTTATTTATTTTTTCCTTTTTATGTCAACACAACAGTATGACCGAAAATAATCCCGTCAAATCAGAGGAACTGGAATCTCTGACCACGAAAAATGGTAAAACAGCGCAAATTGTTTCAGGTCTTAATAGACCCACAGAAAAAATACCGCTGGGCGAACAGAGTCGTGCAGTACGACGTCAAGAATTAATGGTACTACTTGGTAATATTGGATTACTCTCTACCGGAATGGCGCTGAGTTTGCCAACAGTCACTCTGCGACAGCTGATGGATCCCAATGAGACTGTTCATCTCAGCGAGTCACAGGCTTCATGGTTCGGTAAAATAGTTCGAATGAATTGCTTACAGGCCAATTTTCGATTATATTTCAATCTATAGCTTCCATCAACACACTTTCATGCCCACTCGGTGGTCTACTCTCCGGATTTTTACTGGATAAAATGGGTCGCAAAAACACACTCTATGTGTTGAATGGCATCGCACTCGCTTCATGGGCTCTGATGGCTTTAGCGGTGGAAAGTAATGCCGATATTGTTTTTATACAGCTGATGGTGTCGCGATTTTGTATAGGTGAGTAGAAGTGACCACATACATATATTTTTATCGTCCAACTGCAAATTAGGAATTAAATAATTTTGGTTATGAAAAATAAACAAATATCAATAATTTAAATTTTTGTCATTTAAAAATAGTAATACAAAATTTTATAGACTGTTGGCCATCCGTTCGTTTTCTTAAGATTTTCCAGGATTTATTCACACTATTGTTTTGTTCCTATTGCTTTTAAAAATAAGGTCCTAATATATGTACATAGGTATTAAATTTAAAGTTATAAATTGCTACCATTTCAAGGTATTGCTATGGGAATCGCCAGCGCACCAGTCGGTGTCTACTCCGCCGAAATAAGTTTACCGCGTATACGTGGAAGACTCATTCTTGGCACATCGGTGTCAATTGCTGCGGGTATTCTAGTGATGTATATAATGGGATATTTTATTCGTAATGACTGGCAGTTAATTTCAATGATTTGCTGTGCCTATCAAATAGTAGCGATGCTTTGCGTTATTCCAATGCCCGAATCGCCCAGTTGGCTAGTGTCTAAGGGGCGTTTTGAGGAAGCGAAGAGAGCGCTCAATTATTTTCGAGGATTGGAAAAATCAGGTAAAATTTGAAAAGAACATATTAGCTTATATTCCACACCTATCACTCAATTAACGTTGAGGGACACTTATAGGTAAAAGACAAGCTTGGAGCTAAACACCTCTAAAAATTTAGTGAATAAAATTGTCTTAATGACTTGACAATTAGTTTTAATTTCATTGCTTTCTCTCCCAAAATTTCAGACGAAATCACACATCCGGAAGTGCTTGCCGAATATAACTTACTGCAGAAATCTATCCAATTGGGTGAAGGTGTAAAGAAACCACCATTTTTGAAGAGCATACGTGAACCAGAAGTCTACAAGCCACTTCTTATACTCATGGGCTTGTTCGCATTCCAACAGTTAACAGGCATATTTGTTGTTGTCGTTTACGCTGTGCAAATCTCACAAGAGGCTGGCGTCAATATAGACCCATTTATGTGCGCTATCTTGATCGGCGTTGGACGAGTCGCAACCACAGTTCTTCTAGGAATCATTTTGGAGAAATGGGGACGTCGTCGTTCGGGTATTGTATCGGCGCTTGGTATGTGCGTTTGCATGTTCCTATTGGCCGGCTATAACTGGTGTTCATGGCTACAACTAATTCCATATTTGCCGGTCATTGCAATTATTGCCTTCATTATCTTAAGCACATTCGGGCTCTACACGTTACCATTCTTCATGATATCGGAGCTCTTTCCGCAGAAAGTGCGCGGAGCAGCTTCGGGCCTGACAGTGGCGGTGGGCATGTGCTTCGCCTTCATCTGCATTAAAACATATCCGGCGATGAAGAATGCATTAGATAAAGACTACTGCTTCGTTATTTACGGTATAATGGCATTCATAGCGGCAGTTTATGTATACGCCGTGCTACCGGAGACACGTGGACGGACATTACTCGCTATTGAAGACCAGTTTCGTACTGGCGTTAAATCGCAACGTTATCAAGCCGCTCCATTAGAAATGCAGGAAGTGTCCGTGAAATGAGCCAATCGAGTTCACGGAAAGTGCTTTAATTAATTAGTTGTTCTTTGTTTACTTTAAGGAAGTGAAAGTGATTGTTAATGAAAGCTTTTGTATTGAGTTGTTGCGCTTTACAAATGATGCCAATAAGTAGATTAACAGTTAACTGAAACCAATTTGAATTTAATATTTGACGCAAACAAAAACAAAACTTTCGAAAAGAATAAAACTTATGTAAAACTTAAACTGTGATAGGTTTTGGTCCTGGAAGAAGATTTTATTACATTTAGTGGTTTAAAATCTAATGTTTACAACTAAGATGAAATACATTTAAAATATATCAAAAAAAAAAAAAACAATATAGTAATTAATAAATATTTGACGGATTGAAGCCTAAGGGAAAGGTGGGAGGGAGAATCGCTTACAGTCAACGATTATTTGACCTTTTTCGGTAGTATCCAGCTACTTTGTTATCTGACTTGTTAGTGTTACAATGGATTCGCTAGAAAGTGCAAAGCTTGTAGAGAGGCCGCGCTTACATCAATTTGGATAGGTTGGGATAGAACGGACACCACTGTTCTGTTGCGCTTAAGCTTTCAAACTATAGATCTCCCGCAAGTTTGGCAGGTGTTGGGTCAATTGACGTAAAAAACAAGGGTGGACTTTATGTTGTCTTGCGTTCTGGAAAATTTAAAGTAACACAAAAGTCGGAATAGAAATAACAACATTGTATTTATCAGTTAGTATTAATACTTGTACAATAATTAAAAATATTCGCCTTATAAATTTTTGTGGTATACTATTTTAGTTAATGCCTTGATATTAAGTTATAATTTTCAAAATTCCACTGATTTGATACATCTTATAAACATTTTTTATACCTTAAATTTTGTAAGCTCACTTTTATTTAATTAATCAAAAAAAAAAAAAATTATTATAATACGATAATCAAATATTAGAAGCGGTATCCAGGGAGCTTATGTATATATAATATGTATATTATGTATATATAATATATATATTAGGACATATTAGACAAGCGCTAATTTCGGGTGCCACCGAACATTTTATACTCTTGCAACTTGTGAGATCAAAGTCAGGGAAATACTTTAAAAAGTTTTTAACAGTACTGTTATATGGGGAGTAAGCGGAGTTATCCTACGATTTCATCCATTTTCATACTGTCGGTAGAAGTTCTTATAAGATTTGAACTCAGTGATTTGGGCTGTTGTAGCTTAAGTGGAGATGTGTATATTAGACTTGTTAGAGGGCGGGGCCACGACCACTTAAAAAAAAAAATGTGTTTAAGCAATATGATTTCTTAACAAAATAGTGCGTGAGGACGAACCAATATATAACGTATTTCATGAATGATTTTGCAATAATTAAGCACACTCAGTTATGACACACATTTTTGCCGAAACACTTCTTGCAATTTTCAAAGCGCTTCTGATACCAACTTTTCGGTATAGCTACAAAATTCTGCTATCGATACAAGTTGTATAAGTACATCTAGTCTTTGTTCATTCATTCATTCATCTCTTCAAAATTTCTATAACCAATAAATGTTTGATCGATTATTTTCTTAGTTTGAAGCGAAAAGATTGATACACTTGATCCTTCTTCCTACGAGAAAGTTTTCTTTTCTACTTCAATATTCAAGTTTCTAAAAAATTAGGAACTCGAGAGCGAGACTCTCAAGTCATATATCGTATGCTGTCAGCTTTATTGAAACAGCCTCTGCTATTTACTATAAATTTATACGGAATTTGGTATCTCAGCTGCTGTTTTAAACTGCATCAAAATATATATTCTCGATGAAGACACAACCATCTTAGGCAATAGAATTGTATAAATGGTCAAATTAGTTCGTGCTAAATACATTTATACAACACTGTTTGAAGATTATATTTACTATAGCTAAAATAAACATTTTCTAATAAAAATGCTAAAACATTACTTCTATCACCGCGCCACCTACCGTGGGATAGTCAAAGATGCTTAATTAATTTGGGCATTATTGGTAAAATATTCTCACAGGGATGGCAGCCTTTTACTTACAGCTGATCAGCAATTTGTAATTTCCTAACCACTAAATGCCAACTAAGCCAGCGTTCGTTTGACCTCATTATATTCAAATGGAAACATAATTCAATAAATTTGCTAAAATATATTTGGCAATTTATTAAACGCAGCACTAATTATAAGATTATTGATATAAATGTATATACATACATATGTATGTATGTAGTTATATTAATTATGATATCATTGGTGGATAAGATTAGCATTACCCTTATATTAATCTAATTAAATTGATAAGGAGTAATATTATCTTATATACAAGTGAGAAGGAAATTCCTTGACAAATATTTCCAAAAAGTTCCACTTGGATATTTCTGCAGGATATAAACAAGTAAATGCCTCATTACCTATTTTTCCGTGGTGGACGCTTTATGGAAACCCCGTTGCTTACACTGTATTCGATTTGCGTGCCATTTGTTGTAATAATATTATATTTAGTAAACAAACTGCTTAAAAAAAAAAAAAGAAAACTACGTTTTTGCCAAAATGTTACAACTAAGCGAAAAAACATCAAGATAAGGAAAATATTTAAAAGGTCATAAAAAAAACTGACACATACGAACGCCAAACCCTTTGAGGGTTTTACTATACTGACGTAGTACCATCACCCTGACTTGGAATTTCTCACCCCCCAGATTAGCTGTTGTACTGTGTTATTAACATTATTTTGCAGAGCAACAAAAATATTGGAGCTTCCTTGTATTATCTAATTCTTGGATGATAGGTCCAAACAGAATAATTTAAAAATGATGAACTGTGATCGATAGAGATCACAGAGCGACGTACTCACTCTCCCACTCTATTCCTAAAAAATGGAATCGTTTGGTTTAACCGCTTTTATTTTTTCAAACCTAGGTGTGCAACTTTCCTGATCTCAGAAACAAATGCGATTAAAACTAATTACATAGGCAATGAATAGAAGTATCAAATTCAACGTTTACTTATCGAAAATGCCAAAACTACAAATGTTTACCCTTATAGTGTTCATCAAAATTAAAAGCTAGTATCCTTCTTTAATTCTTCTATTCATAGTTGGCTAGGACATATAATTTTATATGTTGTAAAAGAGGTTAAAAAAATAGGACGAAATAAATCTCCAATAATATTGCAAAAAAAATTGTAGTTGGAAGTGAATCAGTTACCTTTCCTCGTACATTTCACATCCGGCATAACTTCCGGTGAGATCGGAAAGTTCTTAAAATAATTCGTTTATGAGGTTGTTAGGGGAAATATATTTTTATTGTTTAATTATTTAATAATGTCTTATGCTTTAATTGGAGCTGCACAGGAAAACACTGTTCAAAACTACGGTAAAGGTTAACATGAGGGTTAATTAGTTTGGTCTGGGGATGTTTCTCAAGTCCAGTTCAGTTTTAGAAACTAATAGAATAATACTAAATTTATCTCTTATCATTAAGTTATCACATGATGCAAATAATTGAGAGTAATAATTAAATTTTAACGTTCATTGTTAGTGTAGATTTATATATTTATTTAAAAGAGAACTAATTATAAATAATTAATCCACTTGTAAGAATCAGCACTGGCTATCAGGGCCTTCGGCTCTTAATACTAAGATTATGGTGAAAAGAAAATATTTAGTAAGGTTATTTAGTTATATGTGGTTAGTTGCATGTGGTGTTATATGTCTTTGATGTTACACAGTTTAAGAAATTTATTAATGGCACTGATGTTATCGCTGTTTGTTGCTTTGAGAAGGTCGGAAGGTCTCTTATTCCCAAAGGTTGATTTCCTTAATAAATGCAGTGCAGGGCACTCATCGATGAGGTGAATGACCGATTGGGTGGGAGTGTTGCAATGGTGACAGCTTGGTTGATCGGTACCKTTAAGAATATGGCTGTGAGTTCTTGTAGTGTGGCCTATTCTAAGACGAGTGAACGTCTTAATGTTGTGGTATGAGCAGTCCGATAGGTAGATAGGTTTTACACCAGTTGGGTTTTGATCTCTATAGTGATGTTGGTAGCTAGTCCAATCTCGGAGATGTATATGATGGCAGTATTTTTTTATATGTTCTTTGATGTCTTTAGTAGTAAAGTGGGGAAAGAACCAACGGCTCTCTACTACCTTCTTTTGCATGTTTATCTGCTATCTCATTTTTATGCTGTTTTCATGATGGAAGAGTTTGTCGCGTATATTCTGTATTAGCCATGAATTATTTKSTGAGTTTTGAAGTGCATCAATGGTTGATTTACTATCGCTACATATTATATGTTTATCTCCTGTTGATGAGGCGAATAGAACCGCTTCGTAAATTGCTTCAGCTTCTGCTGTAAAAACCGAGCAATATGTTGGCAAAGCACCGACAGTAATATCGACACCCTGATCGTTTGACACTGTAAACGTGGTAGTAGTATCCGTTTTCGACCCGTCGGTTTATATGGGTTCCCATTCTGGTTTGTAGGACTCAATAGCCTCGTTGAAGAGCAGAAAAAATTCGTTGGAGCTGGTTTTTAGTTTCTGGTGCTTTGACAGAGTGTTTATAAAAGAATGTTTGGGAGTCAACCATTGTGGA